TTCATTTAGACCCAGGTTTCTTGCTAACCCCACAATGGTTCTCTCAATCTTGACATCTCTTTCCTTGCTCTCATATCTGTCCTTCCTTCATCTCATCTATTCTATTCTCTCAAGTTCTCCTCAACACTTTCTTTCTTCCCAGTGAGGGGCCACTGGCAGTGACTGGGATTTCTCTCTACTGTGTGTTCTGGCCTTTTTGTCATCCTGTTCTCTTTGAATGTCTACCTTGCTCAGCCTAAATGTAGTTGGGAGGGCCTTGGATCTCCCACAAAGCAAAGTTCCTTACCTTTTCTTAGGATTATATAGGGGTGGGGTAGGAGGGTGTGTGAAGGGAACGGAAGGAGGGGTAGGAGTGGAAATTTAGATTAGTGGTTTTTTTTAATCTAATAAATTTTTAAAAATTAAAAAAAGAAATAACTGATTCCGCCGTCTTCTGGCCTCTGGGGATGCCGATGGAAAGTCTGCAGCAGCTCTGATCTCTCTGCCTTTGAATGGAGTTGTCCTTCTCATGCTGCTTTGAGGATTATTTATTAACCTGTATTTTTGAAATCATGACTGCTGTATGTTGTGGGGAATTTTCTCTGTTTGTCTATTCAGAGTTCTATGTACCTGTATCTTTCTGTAAATGCGAGGCCTCTCTTTGCTGTAATTTCCTTAGTCTTTCTATGCCATTCAGTTTTACACCTGTTCCCTCTTCTACACCATCACCTAACACCATCCTCTTGAAAGTGTCCCAGATGATTTGTAAATATCATTCATGAGCCTTAGGGTTTTTTTTGTTTTTTTTAAATATTTATTTATTATGTATACAATAGTCTGTCTCCATGTATGTCTGCAGGCCAGAAGAGGGCAACCAGACCTCATTACAGATGGTTGTGAGCCACCATGTGGTTGCTGGGAATTGAACTCAGGACCTTCGGAAGAGCAGGCAATGCTCTTAACCACTGAGCTATCTCTCCAGCCCGAGCCTTAGGTTTTTATCCCCATTATATAATGTCTGTTTGTATTGTCTGAACTTTGTCTTCCATTCATGAAAATCGATCTTATCCATGGTCTTATGTGTTTCAAGTGGTGTCTCTTGTAGATTTTGTTTAGCTAACAATTTTCTGTTTTTCAGGTGTTTGTGTTTGATTGCCGTCTTAGTTGACAATTCTGTTGCTATAATAAACAGCATAACCAAAAGAAAGTTGGGAGGAAAGGGTTCTGTGGCTTACAATTTGACATCACTGTTAAGAAATTAAAAGCGCTCACAGCAGGATATCAAACAAGTTTGGAATATAAAGGCTGAAGCTGATGCAGAGGCCATGGAGGAGTGTTGCTTACTGGCTTGCTCAGCCTGCTTTTTTGTTTACAAATCAGGGTTTCCCTCCTCTTAGTACAGGTGTGACTCAATCAGATGTTTTGACCATGGGAGCCTGTCCCATTTCTCATCTCTCTTGTGGTGGCTTGGGTATGGGAGAGAGACTCTCCCCGGCTCCACTCAGCCATCAACATGTGGGGTAGATGGGAGAGCTGGCCCTGTGGTCATGAGAATCAGAGAGCTGTCTCTGACCCCCAACAGCTACAAACTCAGGAGAGAGGGCCGTGCCCCTCTCCTAGGCAACACAGTGAGGTCAGTTCTGTTGGCGCAGGAGAAGGTGAGCAAGCAGCGAAGTCGTGAGCATGGGAGAACTGTCCCCATCCCTCATCTGCCTTGTGGTGGCATGGTGGGGAAAAGTGGTCATGCCCATGTCTCTGCCCTGCTCATCCATGCCTGAGGCAGTGTGAGACGTTGACACTGAGTTCAAGAGCTGGTGTCTTTTCCTGCCCCTTCCTGGTTGCAACACTTGGAAGAACAGTTTTGTACCTCCTCTGGGTAGCACAATAGAGCCTGTCTTGTTGGCAGAAGAGTGGGGGAGCCAGCCCTGCTGAAGTTGTAAGAGTGGGAGACCCGTCCCCACTATTTGTCTCTCAAGTGGCACTGTTAGAGGCTGAAAGACTCCCCCTTTTTCCTTCACTCCTTACCGACTGCAACAGACAAGATAGCTGACCCCGTCCAGTACCAGCTAAGTCCTCAGGAAACAGACCCTGCCCCTCAGTGAGGTAGCACAGCACAGCTTCCTGATGGTTGGAGTCAGGGGTAGGGGTGTGACAAAGCCCCAGGGTTGTGAGCAAAGGAGAGCGTCCCCATTACCCATCAGACATGTGGTAGCTCAGGTGCAGAAGAGATGCCCTCCCCCAACCTGTTTCCTACCAGTGCTTGAGAAGCTGGAGGAGCTGGCTCTGGAGTCCTCAGGGGAGGAGGCTGTCCTTAACCCTTACCAACTGTTACCACTGGAAACACGACAGAGTTGGCCGTGACCTGTAGGTGTGTGAGAACCTACCCTGAGGGTGGAAAAGAAGGACTGCCCCACCCTACCCTCATTGCTGCCAGAGGTGAATCAGCCAGGGTCATGCTGGAGAGCTCCCCCTGGTGGTGAGGACAGGGAAAACTGGCTGACAGACCATCCCTACAACTGTCCTGAACCAGAACCAGGGATATGACTGTGTCTGCCCCAACATCTACCTCATCTATGGTCTGCTGGAGCATATGAAGGAACGTGACCTGCTGACCCAACGACGCAGCAGCACAGGGCAGCAACAGGATATCCAAGAAGAGTATGAGTGAGGGCCCAGCATCATAGAGTAGGAGAAAGAAGAGGCCTCGAACCAGACCAATGACTCTGCAGTGAACACTTGGAGGTCAAGACGTATGGACACGGGGTTACTGCATGACTCCTTGTGTCGTTCTGCAGCCTCCAGGATGAGATTTTCACATTTTTCCCATTTGTTCTTTCTTTTTTCTCTTAAATTTTGTTTTATTTAGGGGTAGGACTTCAGGGGTTTAGAAGATGTTTCCCAAGGGACAGGGAAATCAATGAGATCAGGATACATGATGTAAAAGGCCCATAGAATAAATAAAAAGAATGAGACAGGATTCCTTTGTCTAGCCTTGGCTGCCCTGGTACTTGCTCTGTAGGCCACAAACCTGGCTATGAAAAGTCAGTCCCCAGAGCCCATGTTACGGTGCAGGGAGAGAAATGATGCCCTACAATTATCTTACAACTTCCATCCTTTTCCGTGGATCAGACCCTTTCCCCTCATGCACAGTAGTAATAAGTAATTTTTAGTAGCCAGTAAGAGTGCCATACATTTTATATCTCATCCCTTGGGAAGCAGAGGCAGGCAGATCTCTGTGTTCAAGACCAACCTGGTCTGCATTACTAGCTGCAAGCAACCAAGACTAGCTAATGAGACCCTGTCTCAAGTTTCTCTTTTAATATGAAGTTCAAGGGGCTTAGCAGTTAACGGCCCTTGCTGCCATTTCAGCACCTACAGTGAGAAGTTGACAGTTAACTGTATCTCCGGTTCCAGAAGTGGAGATCCTATGCATGCTCTGTGGTCACACTCTTGCATGTGTGCATAAACATTCACATAATAATCAATTTAAAAAGGATTAAGATCAGTCCAGGTTTAGTAGTACCCACTGTTAACCCCAGCACTTGGGGGTCAGCCGACAGTCATGATTCTATTGCTGTGTTCATAACTGATCCAGCTGTGTGGACCAGATGAGAGTTATCTCCAGTGTTGAAGGAAACCAGGAAACCAGAGTCCGCACAATGTTGAGGCTGTAAATGATGAATTAGTGTCAGCTCATGTTTTCTTTGAAGTTCCTTCATTTCTGTTTCTAAATCACCTCACACAGTAGCCATGTTTTCAAGTCTGAGCTCTTCTCATTCATTACCTGTGCTAATGCTCACCTGTTCTCCTCCTCCTCCTCCTCCTCTTCTTCTTCTTCCTCTCTCTCTCTCTCTCTCTCTCTCTCTCTCTCTCTCTCTCTCTGTCTCTCTCTCTCTCTCTCTCAACAGCATTAGAGAGACAGCCTATATTGCAACTTTGAAAGAAACTTAGGGATAGACATGTTTTGGTTTGAAGTAGGTGGTCCAAATCCCACTAAGAGCCAGTTTTTTACCAAGCTGAAACAGCAGGTGACAATATATATTTATGTATACATATATTAAATATTATCCGTACCCAATGGGCATTTGAACCATACATCAAAGGAAACTAGGAAGTATCTTTACAACTAAAAATTAGATACAAAAGCAAGAGTATCCAGGCTTGGTAAGGCAGAAGCAAAGGCAGACTTACAGGCATAAGCATGGAATCCTAAGCACAGGGAGACTGGCCATCTCAGAGGAAGCAGGCCTGGAGAGCGAATGTCACTGCAGGCTGCTCTGTGCTCCTCTGAACACCTTTACTGTTTGAATTGAGTGTACAGCTGTGACATTCTCTGCTAGCGTTGCCAAAGGCCAGCATTTCTAATGACGTGTCTCTAAGATCAGGCTGAGAAACGGTCTTCTCATGCCACCAAGTCCTGAAATGAAAGAATTCAGCAGGTTCAAACAATTCCCGGCCAGCTTGCCCCAGCCGTGGGGGATCAGTGGCCGTTTCAGTTGTCTTTCTCAACTCTACCATCATACGTGGAGATGGAGGTCTGTAACACAGATGGTTTGTCTACCATCACTAAGTACCTTATCCAGAATAGGCTCCAATCTGCACATATTCCCCTCTCAGGAAACTTATCATCAACTCTGCCTCTAAAGGGTTAGAATGAATTGATCCTTCAAAGTGCCCCAGAGAGCTGTGCCTCAAGGTCCCCTTGCTTCTGGGCTAACTGAGTCCTAGGGGTAGTGCAGAAGCACCAGCTCTAGGGATGCAGAGGAAAGAATGGACAGCAGAGAACCTTTTATCTCCTGAATGATCAACAGAGTCAGAAAAGATCAAAGGAGACAAAGGAGGAAGGCAGGGCTCCTTTACGCAGTCTCATTTCTGTCTGAAAGAGCTGTCTGCCCTGAGGTACCTCCTGCCACTAACAGGGCAGGAGTCATTGGTCTCTCCCAGAACCAGTGTCGTCTGCTTGAGGAAGCAGCTAGGCTGTGTACAAGCAAGCTGTGTGAACACCACGACCACAATTTATACAATGAACAACAAACAAGAACCATTTATTAAAACCAATATTAAAACTAACACAAATAGAAAACATCCTTAAGAATAAGAAAACAATGACTCAGGGGAGGGGAAGCTGGCTGGGGTGTCTGGGAGTGCTGCTGGGCTGAAATCAGGGGAGATTCTGTGGGGAACAACAGGACTGGTGCTGTCTGCAGAGCAGAGAGATGAGGGATGCCGAGAGGAGCAAGGGGGCTGGGCCGTTGCCGGGGGAGTTAACTCTCCCAGAAGAACTTGCACTGTCTGATGACAGGGTGAGAGGCTGAGCGGCTGCAGCATCCATGGTTGATGGCAGGAGTGGGGACCCAACTGCTGCTCCAGCTTCACACGTGGCACAGATGTTTCTCATGGGTTTTCCGCTCTCCGGCTTAGTGCACAAGGTGGTTCAGGCTTGAAAGTAGCTGGTTAACAGGCTTTGATGTTGGTCAACAGCCTGGAGGTCTAGATCTGTCCATGTGTGGCTCTCCCTGCAGCTCTGCGGATCTAAGGATGGAGACAGATGTGCTGCTGATACAAGCATCTCTAGAAAGGGAAGGACAGTGGAGGGACAGGAGGGGACCACATGCCCAGGATGAGACCTCTTTCTCAGCCTTTGTAAACACAGGGGAGACCGTGTCTGCCTGGATTCCCAGATGCTATCCTACAAAAGGATATGTGCCCAGGCTAGGGTCCAGTGACTGCTCCTGCAAAGAGGAGCCTCTTAAGGATCCCAAGAGCATTTCAGGTCTAGAACCCACCTCAGAGGGTGTCAAGTAGCTACCTGGGCTTACTCATTCACTATCTTCTGAATCACTGTCCACTTCTGCCTCCAAATTCATATGGATCTCATGGAAACGAACAAGAAGGTCTGAGTTTGGCATGTTCAACATCAGGTAGGTCTTCACCTTCTTAAGAAGGGACAGGTCTGTGGTATTTGAAAAATCCCCAGGGAACTCGTCCATCCATGTGTGCAGGAGGGTACAGATGACGCTGGCAGAAAGGGACAGACAGGACAGTCAGGGACCTGGACTTTTCTTTGTAACCCCTCCCAAGATTCTGTGCATCTGAGTCTACAAGGGAGAAGATCTCCAGCCCTTATGCATATGAGGACAATGAGCAGGGCTGAGAGCTCCATGTGAGCAGGGAGCCCCACCCAGCCCATGTTCAGGCTCTGATGGAGCACAGCTGAGCAAGCCTTCAGGCCAGGACTGAGATGAGGATAGAGTCTCACGGTGGCACAGGAGGCGACAGGCTTTCTGCATATCCGCACTTGTAAGGACCCTGCCCATGCAATTTTTCTGACCCTCCAGGCAATGCTTAGACATCAGTCTGGTAGCAGAAACCAGGAGCATGAGACCTAAGCATCGGCCATCCCTCACCCTTGGTACCCAAGAGAGCCCACCCTGCAGAGCCAAGGCCTTTCTCATGTTGTAAAGCCCACTTACTTCTTTACTTTTTCATCCTCTTCACATTCAGGGCGGAAGTATGCATACCTGCGGGAGACCAGGAAGGAAGTCACCTATAGAGTCTTAGGTCTCCACCTAAAAGACATCTATGGGATCTATTGATTTCCGGAACAGAATCTAAAAGTTCTGTCTGCTCTCGAGTTATCAGTTCACCTGTATTCAGTAGGTGCTTCAAATATGATCGTGCAGTGGGTGATCACAAGTATGTCTACCGAACATCTCAGTGGGCACAGGTGCCCTTGGGTTCCCCTCCATGGGTCTCCACTCAAGACCCATCTCTATTTTGTGCTCCAACAGGAGCTCTAGAATCTCCTTTACAATTGGAGAAGTGATTTGACCAAGATTCCAGAAAAACTGGCCAAGGATAGGGTGCTTCTTGAAGGTGCAGAGGACTCCTACACTCATTAGGGTCTTAGCTGTTCACATGCCAGTTCCTAGGGCACAACCTGCAGGAAGCAACATCTCATATCATGCTGCTGGCTTCTACAAAACTCTAACAACTAAATGGGCTCAGAGAAAGGCAGAGGCTACCCATAAACAAGAGGACCTGAGGCCTCTGAGCTTGGAGGTGGGCACTCACCGCCTGAAGACTACGTTGAGTATCTGCTGGATGGTGGCACACATCGGGTATACGCACAGGAAGGCTATCAGAGAATTACGGTCCCCGTCCTGCACAGCAGTCAACATGCTATCCACCAGCACATCCAGCGTGTTGAAGCAGAACTCCTTTGGCTCATTTGGGGCAAACACCCCTGGCTCCTTTGGATCAGGCTCCTTCACATCCCTTAGACCAGACTCTTCCAGGTCATTTGGGACAGACTCCTTCCTCTCCTCTGGGGCAGTCTTCTTCAGGACAATTGGGGCAGACTCCTTTGGTGCAGGCTCCTTCTCCACCTGAGGAGAGACCAAAGAGGATGATTCAAACAGGCACAGGACTGCAATGTTATGGTTATTATCATTCCACGTTTTCCTGATCCTTTATACTGCCAAACTCCAAGAATGAAATTTGGAAAAACGGAGATTTCAGAGTGGTTACCTGGTCTGAGCGGTCCTGGTCCTGGCTGTCCTGACTCAAGGTTTTTTCTTTCTCACCAAATGGCCAGAGGCAGTGGAGCCAGGAGCAAACCCGGCTTCTCCAGGCACCATCATGGTCTCCATCATGACCTCTAATTTTCTCGTTCTTAACGTCTGAGGCTCCACAAATTGGAAAACAACAGGAGAACATCCTGCTTTCTCTCCTGTCTGACGACAAGTGAGCCTACTGGGCTGTCTCTAGGCAGTTGGCTGCCTGGTTGCAGGGTTCTGCATTGTGATGTCATCATTAAGGAAGTGAGGTCACTCCTGGAGTCCCCTTGCTTGAGTCTTCTCCTTACACGGAGCTTTCCCAAAAGTCTCCTAGGTCCCCCCTCCTCCCAGGTGCACTACTTGACACAGATACAAAGGTGCTTCCTATTCTACTGCTCCCTGGGTACAGGCAGCACCTCGGTTTTGCAATCTGAGCCCCTACTGTTGACCTGCATCTGTACCCTGATTCTAAACTCAACTTTAATTGGCCCAGCACACTGTAAACCCTTGTCATATGCCTTGGTCTAGGTTACTATGTGTGTGTTCTGTGTGAAGTATGAGCACACATCACCTGTATGTGTTGGGTTTTCATGAGGACTAGCATCTACCCCATCTAGGTCCTGCTGAAACTCATGAAGGATCTGGTTCTGTAGAATGATACCCACAAGATCTCCATGCTACAGGATACCCCAGAAGAGCTCTGATGAAGATCCAGTGAGGATGGTGTATTAAAAACCTGAGGCCTTGAGACAGACCAGTGACTCATTGCAATGAACAGTTGCCGATCGAGACCAGTCTCAGCCTCTTCCTATAACCTCCATCAAAGGCTACTCATGCTAGTTTGTTCTTAGTGTGAGATCTAAAGGCCATATCTATAGGAGGTAGCGACTATTCTCAGAGCACCAAAACGAGGCTAAAGTTATACCTTATACTATATGTATGACACACCGGAGCCTCCAGTGACATCGGGATGGATGAAGAGGTGATGGGGAGGCAGGAGAGGAGGAGAAGCAGAGTGTTTTCTGTTTCGCATATAAATTTGGTTCTCTTATGGTTTAGCGGTTTTTGTTGTTTGTTTTTTGTTCTTGCTTTTGTTTGTTTGTTCGCTTACTTTGTTTTGTTTTCTTTTGTGAGGGGGGAGGCAGCAATGAGGGGGAACATGGGGGATTGGGAGGTGGATAGAATAGGGGTGCATGATGTGAAACCGCCAAAGATTCAGTAAAGAAGTTTAAATTTTTTTTTCTCAGTTGGAAACACATTAAGCCCATGGTGCCCTTGAACCTTCCATTTCCCACCCATAGCCTACAGATCAACACCAGCTCAGAAACATGGTGCACTTATGCGGGTCCTGAAAACTGTGTGCGCCTGTCTGATGTTGAAGTTATGAGAACAACTTACTAGTGACTTTCATGGTTAGTTTTTGTCAGCTTGCCACAAACTAGAGTCATCTGGAAAGAGGAAGCTTCAAGAGAGGAATTGCTTCTGTGAGGTGGACCTGTGGGCAGGTCAGTGTTTGATGTGGGAGGGCCCAGTCAGAGTGGAGCATTTGTTAGAATTACTGAACTTGCCTCATCTGTTTTGTAGCAATTCCAGGTATTTCAATCCTATCCTTCTTTTCGTGGCTAATTAGCTTATCATCTTAGTGCTGAATAATCTTGAAAAGCAGGGACGGCCAAATGACCCAAGTATGGAGGCACAGGCCTGCTTTCCCCACAGGAGCATCCCGAAGTGTGTTGGCAATGATCTAACACCCCCAGGACAGGGTGTGTCACACGGCGGAACTGTTCATTTGCAGATGCTCAACCTGCTCAGTGTACTGCTTGTCTGTCAGGATTTCTGTGGACCTCTCAGTCACGCTGATGTGGATGGAACCTGGCTCTTGATATCTCTGGAATGAGGGCACCATGCATTTCTAGTTTGTTCCAGTACTTGTGATGTATCCTTCGTCATTGATGTAGAATTTAAAATTAGGTTCTCTTACTTCTGAAGCTCATACTTAATGAAAATGAAGATTCTGCATTGATATTTTCTGATTAATTTCATGATTAATCATTTTCACATCAAAACATGATTTGATCATTTTGGTCACCTCCTTTTTGTTCATCTGGGTGCTGTCTTGAAGTTTTTTGGAACTGAGAATTTCACTGTTTTTAAAGGCAAGAAGAATTGCCATTTGGTAGGCCGTAACCATAGCTACATGCAGTTTTGCCAAATAGTTCATTTTAACTTCACCTTACAGAGGTTATCTAACCACGTCAGCTTCCTTCCACTGAAATATTGGCTATAAAATAATTTGAACATCTATTCACTTTTTTCTAACTCTTGGGGAATTGCAAATGTGGATGAAGAAGCCTCAGTGAGAGGCCGTGCACCTGCCTGAAGGACATATATGTGGAAACCAACCCCCTCATCTCTCCCCGTGTCTTGGTTTCTGATGAAGGATTGAACTTATTGCTGCCATCAGCACTGACACTCACATCTGTGTCCATCTGATGCAGCTTCCTGGTAAACTCATAACCACAGGCTTGCTTTAATTTATTGATCACAGCTTCTTCAGAATCCATAGACACAGGCAAGTCCTAAATTAGACATTTTGCTAGCATTCTTGCATAGAAAAATGGTTTTATCATCGATATAGTTACAAACAATGATGAAATTGTTGAGTTTGTCCTCCACTTCATTCTGTGTCATACCTTCGCTGGCTCCAGAACACTCCTGTGCAAATGCCAAACCCAATTTTTAAAAAACAAAACAAAATCCTTTGCTTCTCCATAAAGTCTATCTCCAAGTGGTTCAGGACAGGCCACACACAAAGCATCATTACCTGAGAAATGGTCGTTCCGTGTTGCTCTCTCAACTTTATCCGACATAACAATAGCTTTGCCTGTAGTTAGCAAGTTGTTCCATGTTTCAGAGACATTGTGCAAGCTCAGTGTTGAAACGTCTGCAGAAGCAGGGCAAGAGCAAGGGCCGGGGAGGCAGGCAACCCGCAGGCGTGAAGAATGAAGCCTTCTGGCTCAGACGGTGGCCATTGGTGGCTGTCAGCTCCAGGAAGTGTTCTTAAGGAGCTTACTCAAGAGAAGCTTCCTCGGTTCTATTTTAGTTATAGATTGTGTACCTATAAAAGCTATTCATTAATCTTATGTACTGACAAGGGTGTGGTTCAGAGATACGAAACTGAAAATTCTTTGTCTTGGGAGAATTTGTACCTTTCTGAACAATTACTCTTGAGAAAAGTTAGTGGGAAGGAAACCAGGACACATCCAATTAGGATCCGGTAAGAGGTGGGCAGGCGCAACTGGTTTGCCGGGTTCTCCAACCTTCTGCTGAGCTGCAAACCGCTTGTTATGTGGAAAATGTCTAAGATAAAGAACCCCCGGACTTTTGAGGAGCAAACAGAATGTGTTATGAATGGCCTGCTTGAAGACCTTTTGACCCCAACCTTCCATGTGGCTAACCGGAACCTCCTGGATGATGAGGAACCATATTCAGGTAAGGCTCCTGGTCTGGGGTGACTACAGGTAGGTAATACAGTCGGAGTTTGTGCTTTCTGTTTTCTCTTAAGGTTTAGAAGGCCAGCCCTAAATTTTTGGTTACATTTGAAAGATAAGAACTTCTCAATAAAGGAGATGGCCTCACTATAACTACTGAGAACAAGAAATGCTAAAACTGTTTTAAAAACTTGAGGATGTAGTTGAGGCCAGCCTACTCTACAGAGAGTTCCAGAACAGCCAGGGCTACTCGGAGAAACTCTGTCTCAGAAAAGCAAGAATAAGACTTGAGAACGTTTTTCTTCTACCCAGATTCAGGAGACTTCCCATTTCTTCAAGCATAGTGAAGGTATTTTCTCTGTCTTAGGAGAGACTAGTCCCTCTGAATGTGGTTGACAGTTGGGACAGACTGAGGGGCCAATGCCAAAGGCCCTGGGATTTGTCTCTACTGCATGTACTGGCTTTTTTGGGATCCAATTCTCTTTGGATATATACCTTGCTCAACCTGGATGTAGTGGGAAGGACCTTGGACTTCCCACAGGCAGGGTGCTTTGCCCTCTCTTAGGATTGGAGGAGGGTGGGGGAAGGTGTGTGGAGAGAGTGGGAGGGAAGTGGAAGGAGGGAGGAAGTGGGAATTTGGATTTGGTATTTTTTAAGTAATAAAATATAATAATAATGATGATGATGATAATAATAAAAATAAATTTGATGATGTAGTTGAGGCTTGTCTACTCTACAGAGTGAGTTCCAGAACAACTAAGGCTACACAGAAAAACTCTGTCTCAAAAAAACAAGAATAAGACTTGAGAACATTTTTCTTCTACCCAGATTAAAGAGACTTCCCATTCCTTCAAGCATGGTAAAAGTATTTTCTCTGTCTTAGAAGAGGATTTCTCTTTTGATGTGTCTATTATTGTTGACCGCCTTCGAATGCTGGGTGACCAGTTCAATGGAGAACTGGAAGCTTCTGCCAATAACGTCATTGCGGAAACCACTCGAGGACAGGTCAGGGTTTGATTTTTAATATTGTCTGCTGCTTGTTCTATCTCAAACGTAACATTTCACCTTCCTTCCTCCCTTTTTTATTCCTATATATCAGGAGTAGAAATGTTCTGTGAAGATTTTGAGGTTTATAAAGAAGCTATAGAGGGAAATGTGATTGCTAATTCTTTAGACATCAGTAAGAACCCAGCACTATAGAAGGAACTCGTAGGCTTCATTGGAGCCGCCCTTGGTGTGCATACATCATGTTCATAGTTCATTATTCCTGGAAAATAATTATATATATATATTATTATCATTATTTTATGTATGTGTTTATGCTGTGGGGAGGGGGACATGTGTGCCACTACATATCTGTGGAGGTCAAAGGACAATTTTGTGGTGTTTCCCCTTCCACTTCTATGTACGTTTCAGGGATTGAATTCAGGTTACCAGGTTAGTATGACAACTATCTTTAATTCTTGAGCTATCTCGGCAGCCCTATTCTTCATATTTTTAATGCTTAACTTTGCTGGAGTGAGCTTCTCCCTTCATCCGGGGTCCAATAGTGAGATAGAAATATTGGCTAGTTTAAAAGTTCAAGATAAACATTCAAAATAAACCCTTAAAGAAGTCTGCTGGCTTTTCATCAGAACTCTGATTACTGGTGGTAAGTAGCACCTGGACTCTATATGGCTATCAAGACCATCAGACCGTGTTCCAGTACACGCTGCTGATCAAATCAACAACAACTGGTAAGTGCCAGTACTTACCACTTCGCATGGCCACATTTCATGGCTTGATCATTGCGCTCATGAGCTGTTTTTCTTAGAGCGGCCTCTCTGACTCAGCTCATAACTCCATGACAGCAAACATCACCCTGTTTTCCTCCTTTTCATATTCTATCATTGTGTCTTATATGCTATCGGCCTGCAATGTGTGCGCCCTGACTTGACACCACTTAAGCACACAGCGAATGGAAGCATAAAGGAACAAGTAAGAAACGTATTCTGCAAATGCTGAAGCTGGGATTTGAACCCAGACTGGTTCTAGAAGCATGCTTCATTCTTCCTAAAGGACAGTATAGGGGATATGCCTGTGTTATGTTCAGAGAAAACCTTACCGCTGACTGCTGTTCCGAGGCTGTCAAATGTGGGTGGTCACGAGGTTAACTTTTTTTCTTCTGTATTTAGAACAATAACAATACAAAACAATAACAACAACAAGAAAAGAAAAGACATTTGAAACAGTTTCAGGGTCAAGTTGGAAGCATGGTATAGAACAGTGGTTTCAATCTTCCTAATGCTGCGCCCCTTTAATACAGTTCCTAATGTGGTGACCCCCAACCGTAAAATTATTTTCAATATTACTTCCTAAGTGTAATGTTGCTACTGTAAGGAACTGTAATGTAAACATCTGTGTTTTCTGATGGTCTCAAGCAACCCCTGTGAAAGGGTCATTCGACACAACTGCACAAAAGGGCACAACCCATAGGTTGAGAGCTGTGGTATAGAGTTTCTCCAGCCATTTGGGAGTAGCTAGTAGGGCAGTTCCTCCCTCTTTAATACTTTGATACTTCCTTCAAGTAAGAACATTCTTTCGTAAAACCTCAATATAACCACCAAACCCAGGAAACACATATGCACTATGGCATGTGCACACACACATTAAATAAGTAAATACATACAAGAAAAAACAGTAAACAAATAAAAACCCTCAGATATAGGTACCAAATCTATTTCTTTTCCTAGCTTTCTTAGGATTTAACATTCTGCTCTGAGCAGTACTGAGTCCCTTTATACCCCAGTGATCTATGTTGGCCCCACCCAATAGGTTTTGAACCAATTTGTTTGGGAGGGGAAAAAGAAGATATTTTTGTTTGTTTTGACTTTAGGGTTGGCTATACATTTCTAATCATAGAAATAATGCCTTTACAGTCTGACCTGCTCACTCTTGTGTGCTTAATAGCTTTCTTTTAAAGTGTTTTGTTCACCCTATCCAATGGTATCTGAAGGTATGAGCTTGATGAGTTAATGTTTTTCTAATAGTAAAGTAACAAAATGCTAAAGCTAAGAAATTTGTCGATCTGCTCTCCAATATTCCCTCATGCTACGGTGGTCCACTGGTCTCTTCCTGAAGAATTACTTCTTCCAGACCCCAGGGCCATTGGAGTCACACTAACAGAGCCTGTTTCCCTCCTCAGGCAGGAACAATATTTGAGGACACAGTGCGGTCTCTCAGCACGGCCTGGTGTGCTCAGAACTCCACCCTCGCGTTTGAAAGAGCCTTTCTGGCAGTGTCTGTGAAACTTCTTGAATATGTGGTCCAGAAGGCTCCTGAAATGGCAAGAAGGATGGCTAACTGCATGACGGGCATGATCAACGGGAACACAGCCATCCGAGATTTCATCCTGGGGCAGGGAGGATGGGTGAGTTTTTGTTAAGGCCCCCACTTTGCTAGGCATGTGTGCTGTTTTGGTTTTTAACAAGTGAGACTCTTAATTATTAACCTTTTTGTAAGTGGCCATGGAAAAGGGAAACCAAAGTTCAGCCTGTGAGGGTTGGAGCATGCTGCCTGAAATGTTGACCACTGGCTGTAAAGCTAATCTCTAGCACAGATAATCAGCTATAAAGTATATTGACAGTGAGTGCTCATTTCAGCCTGGCCTTACTCTGCTTCCTGATAAACTGCTGAGTCTTTGTTCCTTGACATCTTGAATATGTGTTGAGGAAATTTAGAATAATCTTATGTGTGTGTGTATTTCTTGTTTATTGTTTGTTTTAGAGAGAGAGAGGGGGAGAGAGAGAGAGAGAGAGAGAGAGAGAGAGAGAGAGAGAGAACATAAAGTTGAGTGGGTAGCGATGAGGGACCTGGGCTGAATTGGGGAAGTGGAAAACATGATAAAATATGTTGTGTCAAAAAAGTTGTTTTTCAATAGAAAAAAAATCCAACCGTTTGTCTCATCTATTGTAGACTTGCCCTATAGTGGACAGAAATCTTTTTGTTTGGTTTTTGTTTTTGTTTTTTCACATAGGATTTTTCTTGTAGCCATGACTGTCCTGGAGCTTGCTCTGTAGATCAGGCTGTCCTCAGACTTAGACCTGCATCTGCCTCCAAAGTGCTGGGATTAAAGGCATGTGCCACCACTATTTTTAAAAGTTATATGCCACCTTATTTTTTAAAAAAATAGTGATAGGTAGGTAGATAGATAGATAGACAGACAGACAGATAGATAGATAGATTGATTCATTCTGGTTTCTCCTCTCCCAACTCCTCCAAGATTTCTGCTCCTTCTCATTCACCCACTCAGATTCACATCCTTTCTTGTTTCTGCTCATTAGACAACAAACACTAAGCCTACATACATCCTAATCACTTGTAGGGTTTCTGCTGTCGTAGAGCATCGTAGAGCACTTCTTCCCATTGCTGGGGTCAATAGAAGGCGTAGGAAAAGATGTGGTCGTCCCTGGCAACATCTGCAGATCCTTCCCCAGAGTCTTAGACAGTTCTGAAGGGCCATCTTTTGTACTAAGATTCTCACTGTTCTTCCTAGGAAAACCTGGAGAGCTGAATAAGTGGGGTGGCTCGGACTCAACATCACATCCTCCGATGTTTGCCAATTAAAACATGCTTTCTTCAACTTACCCAGTGCTACGTTTTTACTGATTGCTGACTGTGGGAGCAGGCCAGTCCATCTACAGTGATGTTATACTTTCTGTTTTTACATGAGTTGTAAGAAGAGTTTGTTGAAATAGAGACCTCCTGGCAGTAATTTCTTATTAGTGAAATCTCAAGCCCCAAGGCAGAGCTTTGCTGGAGATAGTTTGAAGGAGGCAGCACATTGTAAACTTTCCCTTCAGGTTTAGCCCTGCCTTTTGTTGAGAATTTTGTCTGCTAGTGATTTTGGAATCTAAAGGTCAGTTTTTAGTTAAAAATCTTATTTCTTCAAGTAAAAGGTTTTCATTCAGATCCATCTTAACTTTCGTGTTTATTTCACCTGAGCAGAATTTATTCAACCATTCTAGAGCCTTGAAGGCATAGTTAGCAGCTTATTCATCTACAATCCTGCTGGAAATATCAAAGAAAGTTACTGTGTTTTCATTGTCAGGATGTGGGAAGTGTTGGCCCACGTGGAGGACCACTGGTCTGCCCCAGCGTGGCTGATGCTAACTGCATACTGTAACAGGGCCCCAGACCTAATTAGGCCCCCAAACTTTAGCACATCTGACTCCATGATGGAAGTGCCATCCAGGCTATAAAATTCAGCACACAGACAGTATCATTGGCCAAAGTAAGAACAAAGGTCTAATTTACCAAAGTTCATGGTTCTGGGAAAGTCTCTAAATGTACTAACCTTGCTTTTTGTCTTCTGTAGTTCCATTGCTAACTAACTGCTCTTGTTAACTGGAGTTTTTCAATCCAGAACATGGTTTTTGTGCTGAAGATCTCACCCTGAGAAAGGCTTAGTGCTAAACTGGGATCCTGACCACCCAGTGTACTCCCTGGCCCACTAATAAAAACTTTCTATTGGTTTAAACCCACATTCAAGCAGTCTTCTCTGGTGGACATCCTACAGCATTTCTGGAGGGTCCACCAAGATCCTCAGAGACCAGATTTTGAGACGCCAGGGGTCTCAGATCTCCTGGGAGCAGGGAAGAGTGCAGTGACCAAGGAGCTCCTAGGGAGTGCACAACCCAAGTTCTAGGCCCTCAGGAGTCTCTTTGATTAATATCTGCCTAACACTTTAGAGGGGTCTGAAACCTTCACCCCAAATCTGGTCTGTCACCTCTGGAGGTGAGTCTGGTTAAGGTGTCCTCTGGTGAGACACATAAGGTCGGACATGGCTGCTGATCCAGTGTCTGTGGTCTGTGTGAGATGTTACATGATTGTGTGGTGGCTACCCCTGGTTGTTTTTATTCTGCGTCTTTCTGCATGTCTTTCTACGTGTTTCTGTCAGTTTTGTTTCTGGTTATTGACCAATGGCTTTCTCTGATGTGAGATACCACTCTGGCTTAAGGCTTGTTCCTCTTCTTGTTGAGGACCTGATTCGTTTTGGCTCTGCCAGGTCACCCCTCCTCCACATACACACAAAAGCAACCCTGCCTGTCCCACTTGTTTCATCACTTGACTTCCAGCCTGTGTGGAGTCAGGAGCAGCCCCTGCCTTCTAAGCTGAATGCTCCCTTAGGTATGCATCCCCCCCCCCTCCCCTGACTGCCCTAAGCAGTCCCAGAGAAGGGGGGAAGGGGAGCTCCCACTCCTTCCTCTTTTGTGAGTTTTGTCTTTTGTTTTTTCAACCAGTGATCCATAGAATTAGAAAACTCAAAATCTTCCATTCAATGAAAAAAGTAGACAAATTGCCTCCAGGCTGCTGGGAGTGGGGAAATCACTGCTGGACAATGCATCCTGGATAGAACAGATTTTTCCTTCTGTCCAACACTGACCAAGAAGACTTTGAACAATTTTCCCTAGTCTTCCTTAGAAAATTAAATACAGCCACAAAAAGGAACTTCTTCGTCACCCAGTAGGCCTCAGATATTAGAAAAAAGTTCTAAAAGTAAACAAAAGTTAAAGGTTCCAGTTGCTGGAGGTAGAGCAAAAGGTGTTTAGCAGCAGAGAACTGGTCAGGACAAGACGCTTTGTACAACCCCATCACCTTCTCTGACGGTGGGGTGCAGTTAGACTTATGGATACCCAACAACAGTTTGGCGTCTTGCCCTCTGTTGATAGCATATCACCTTGGTACTGAAGAGATGGCTCGGTAGTTAGGAGCACTGGTGTTCTACAGAAGACCCAGGCTCAATTCCCAGTACTCACATGGCAGCTCACAACTGTCTGTAACTCCAGTTCCAGGGGATGCAATACCCTCATATGTGCATGCAGGCAGAACACCAATGTACGTAAATAAAATTTTTAAAAAATAATAATAATAAAGGTTGAAGAAAAGAAAGAATATCTCCTGCTGAAAGTCCTACCCACAATCAAAGTATACAGTTGGACTAACAGATTGACAACAAAGATTTCCAGGACTATGGGCAGAGACTGACCCCCTAGGACTAGCCAAACACTGAATGCCTATAATTGTTCAACTAATAGTTCAGCTGCCCCCATACAGATTAAACAAAAAGGGAAATTGTAGTCAATATTGCCTGACATAGAGAGACAGGCATCTTGGTGCCCTTCCAGCTACCCTGGAACACACCTCTTCTGCCTGTGAAGAAACCTGGGACCTCTGGTTCTCACGAGTCTGATTCTTTCAGAGGAACAGCTGTACACTATCTTGGATCTGAAAGATGCATTCTTCAGCCTCCCATTGGTAGAGGTGAGTCAACCTATTTTTTGCTTTTAAAAGAACAGACCCAGAGAGAGGTGACAGTGGACAATTTACATGCACCAGGTTGCCCCAAAGATTTAAAAATTCTCCAACCCTGTTAGATAAGGCGCTAAATGCTGACTTCCATCAGAGGCTTCCCAGGAAAATAGATCATAGAAAAGGTCTCTGAGGGACTGCTGCAAGAGTTACAAAATTCCAGCTAAGAAGGCCCAGCCTTGTTCCTCAAAGGCTACCTATCTTGGCTACCAGCCGAGAGTAGGATTGCCACCACCCTTCAGACCCCAACTGCAAAGACATAAGAAGCAGATCTGAGAGTTCCTTGGTGGAGCTAGGTATTGCTGCATCTGGATACCAGAGTTTGCAGAACAGTGAAGCCTCTATAGACCAGTGCAAAGCAGGGCACTGAACCCCTCCTCTGGACTGAGACTAAACAAAAGGCATTTGAGGCTTTAAAAACATCCCTACTTCAGCTTCAGTCCTAGCATCTCCAGATGCCTCAAAACCTTTTCATCTGTTTGTCCAGGAAAGAAAAGACGTTACAAAAGTGGTTTTGACTCAAACTTTGGGGTTCTGGAAACATCCTGTGGCATAGCGGTCCAAATAACTGGACCCTGTAGCCGCAGGATGTTGCACCTACCTAAGAGCTGTGGGGATGACTGCTAGTCTAGTGGAAAAAAAAAAAACAAGTTAACTCTGGGTCACCTTAGACTCACAGACCCCCACGCCATTGAGGCCCTTCCTCTGAGGAACACCAGAACACTGGCTGGGAAATGCTTGTGTGACCCACTGCCAGATCCTATTCCTGGCTTGCCCTTGTGTCCAGTTTGAGAAACCAAGCTCAGTCAACCCTGCTATCCTCTTGTCTGATGATGATCTGCAAGTGCTCATCCATGACTGTCATGAGGTGAGACATGAAATCAGGTACATGGGCGGCTACAGTAGTTACCTTAACTGAAACCAGGCACCTCAGCCTAGAGCGCAGAAGATTGCTCTGATCCAGGCTCTCAGGAGGGAGAAAGGAGAGTCCACCATCATGCACACACACACACACACACACGCACGCACGCACACACATACACACACACACACAGACACCATGCTATTGAGCATGTCCACAGTATGATCAATAGGGAAAGAGGGCTTCTCGCCACTGAGGAAAGGACATCAAAAACAAAGAGAAACTCTTGGCCCTCCTGAAGGCTACTTGGCTTCCCCCACAAATTGCTATCCTCTACTGGTCCACTTCAAGGACATCAAAAAGGTGAGTCCCCTGAGGCAAGAGGTAACAGGGCCACTGAGGTGGCTGACAAAGGCCCTAAGGCCAGCGAAGCCTATTGATATTCTGATGACATACCCTGAGACTCCAGGGCACAATCAAGAGGAAGAAATGGACAGCTCAAACCCACAGGTTGGTGGAGGACACTGGAGGAAAAGCTCATTCTCCCAGAAACAACCCGCAGGACTCTGGTAACTTCACCAGGCTACTCATCTGGGGTCCACAAAACTTCCTGAGTGGGCTCAGACCAAGGTATATTATTACCTAGACAGGACAGCCTAGTGGAAGATATCTCACCCAGATGTCAGGTTTGTGCTCAAGTGAATCCAAAGCAGAGAGCCCTTACCTAGGAAGGGGTTCAAATAAGAGACCAACACCCCAGTGAACTTTGGGAAAACTGACTTCATTGAGATCTGGCCTTCCAGGTGAGGATAAAAGTACTTTCTAGCTAAATAAGGAGAACCCAAAGAAAAACATATAGGCATCCTCCTGAATATTAACCTTCAGCAAGCGATGAAAGGAGACAGAGACAGAGACCCACATTGGAGCACAGGACTGAATTCTCAAGGTCCAAATCAGGAGCAGAAGGAGAGAGAGCACTAGCAAGGAACTCAGGACCATGAGGGGTGCACCCACGCACTGAGACAATGGGGATGTTCTACTGGGAACTCACCAAGACCAGCTGGCCTGGGTCTGGAAAAGCCTGGGATAAAACCGGACTCTCTGAACATAACGGACAATGAGGACTACTGAGAACTCAAGAACAATGGCACTGGGTTTCTGATCCTACTGCACGTACTGGCTTTGTGGGAGCCTAGGCAGTTTGGATGCTCAACTTACTAGACCTGGATGGAGGTGGGGGGTTCCTTGGACTTCCCACAGGACAGGGAACCCTGATTGCTTTTCGGGCTGGGGGGGGGGGACTTAATTAGGGGAGGGGGAGGGAAATGGGAGGCGGTGGCTGGGAAGAGACAGAAATCTTTAATAAATAAATAAATTTAATAAAAAAAATTCAAAAAAAAAGTACTTTCTAGTTTTTATTAATGTCTTTTCTGGATGGGTAGAAGCATTTCCCACTCAGACCGAAACTGCTCAAATAGTAGTTTGGAAAGCAGAGGCAGGCAGATCTCTGAGAATTTGAGACCAGCCTGGTCTACAAAGCAAGTTCCAGGACAGTTTGAGATGTTGCATCAGAGAAACTTTGTCTTGAAAGGAGGAAAAGAAGGAAGGAAGGAAGGAAGGAAGGAAGCAGAAAGAAAGAAAGCTCCTCCAGGACTCTCCCTAGCAATGGGGACAATAGCCTGGCTTTCATAGCCAAAACTCCTCAATTAACAGCTTGAGCTTTAGACATAGATTGAAAACTTCATTGTGTATATAGACCTCAGAATTCTGGGCAGGTCCAAAGCAAAACATCTAAAGGGACAAGACCAACTCCCTTTCTTGCTAGGCCCCAAGGTAGATATCAGCAAAGCAAGAATTTCCCTAGGCTGCATCCCAGCTACTTAAGGTAGATATCAGCAAAGCAAGAAGTTCCCTAGACTGCAGCCCAGCTGTTTAAGGTAGATATCAGCAAAGCAAGTTCCCTAGACTGCAGCCCAGCTACTTAAGGTAGATATTAGCAAAGCAAGAAGTTCCCTAGGCTGCAGCCCAACTGTTTAAGGTAGATATCAGCAAAGCAAGAAGTTCCCTAGACTGCAGCCCAGCAGCTTAAGGTAGATGTCACCAAAGCAAGAAGTTCCCTAGGCTGCAGCCCAACTGTTAAAGGTAGATATCAGCAAAGCAAGAAGTTCCCTAGACTGTAGCCAATCAGAGAGTCACCCATACCCCTTAGGCCCCTAACTGTAGATTTATGGTTTTTTGCCTTTATAAACCCTGCCTATGAACAGTGGGGCACCTCCTCTGGCTCCCACTGTGTCAGCGAGTGAGATGAGTCCCCTACCGAGATTTGTACTATACGGTTAAACCTTGCTTTTGCATTTCAGTGAGTCTGTGTCTCTGGTGGTCTTCGTTGGGTCTCTGTGACCTGGGCACAACACAACAACAAAAAATAGGATGCTGAAAAAAAAAACTTGAACAAAACTCTCATTAGAGTACAGCAAAGGATAAATATACCTCCTTCCTGTGCTCTGCTTTGGGCCCCTGTACCCCATAT